GACAACTCTAACCTGGAACAAAACAGCGTTAAATAAAATAACGTACACAGGTAAATCTAAATTTAATAATTTTGTTATAAGGAGTACGGAAACTTTTTTTACAAAATTAATGAATTTGTTGTTCACAGTACGAGTACAGAAATGAAAATTTATCGTCATACTAAATATCAAAGGTGGTACCTATCAAAAATAGTGAGACGAGATATATCACAAAATAAGAAAACATTAAATTACAGAAATGCATTACAAATTGTGTCAACAGGTCAAATTAACACGAAAGTACGATTTGAGAGTACTCGCAGTTACTGAAAGCTAGTTAAAAGCCAAAAAACAATTTAAAATAAACAAATCATGCATCAGAGACTAAAATCTATTAAAACACATCCCAGGGAGTTTAGTGAGTTGAGCTATCACTGGGCATTCGTCAAGTTTTAAGTGCATTATACAGTGAGGCAGTATCATAAGAACCTTGCAAACATTATCCAATCGAACCCCTCATATTACATATACAATGTATGTATTAATTTTAACTGAAGCAAAAAAACAAATAAAAAACTCTATTTTAGTACAACTTTCCCGTTTTGTCCTCCCAATAGTATCTTTCTGCTATTTCATTCAATCTGTTGAAATTACCATTAGGTATGATTTACATCCCTTTTCTTAACCATGTTAACACTTAAAGCGATCTCATATTAAGGTTTGATTATTACAATGGGAAAGGATAATTTTGTAATGTCACTGGAAGGTGTGAATATGTACTTCAGAATATTCAGGTTAATGTTCATTTTGGTTTTGATTATGTAATTATCCTACATTACGTGACATGCAAATGCAAAATAATTAGTGTTCTCTGTTTAGTCCTACCATTGAACCAATCCTTTTTTTGTTTGGTTCTTTTTTGACAAAAAAAATATGCCTGTAAATTTCAAAGAATAAAATCGTATTGAAACAGACAACATGTAACATCTTCAGAATCGAGTAATGTAGATTTGGGAGTTACTCGCTCAAAACGTGTATAAATGAGATATTTTAGGAAGATTGATCATCATTCTTAAATTGAAATAGAATGTATATTATGAAAACAAACACTTGTAGTGTAGTCATCCGCCATTCCCTTTAAACGTCTAAATCAACCAATAACCACTTTAAAAAAAAACTATTACCTTTCGTCGTTCTATAATTGCCTGATATAATCATATAAATGGCCCCACTTCCCAACAAATTTGAAGCCATTTTTAGGAGTGGAAATTTTCAAAGTCTAAAGCCAATAATTTCGGCAAAAATCAGCGGAGAGGAACCAATCATCTCAATCTGTAAAGGTTTTAGAAAAAAAGTTCGTATAACTGTTATTTTCACGAAATTGTCAAAGTCTAAAGCCCGTAATTTCGGCAAAAATCAGCGGAGCGGAACTAAACGTAAACTCGATTTGCAACTCATCATAGTAGACTCGCATACTAAATATCAGCTCAATATGTGAAGGCGTTTAAAAAAAAAAATCGTATAACTGTTATTTTAACGAAACTTTAAAAATCCAAAGCCCATATTTTCGGCACAAAATCAGCGGAGCGGAACCAAACGTAAACTCGGTGTGCAACTCATCATAGTAGATTCACATAATAAAAATCATGTCAATATGTAAAGGTTTAAGAAAAAAAGTTCGTATAACTGTTTGTTTCCAAATAACGATATGCCAGAATGACGGAACGACGCAATGACGGAATTACGAATAAAGGTAACACTATTCGGCCAAATCATTGGCGGGGCCATAAAAATACATGTTCTATTATAATTTAGTGTCCAGTCTTGTAGCGTTTGCTTTACGCCCAGTGGCAAATATTGCATTCATGTTCATGACGAGAAAACATACATTTTAAAAACAATAGGTAGGTCTTGAAATAGGAGATTGACTGTGAGGGTGGACGGGAAACTTGGAATGCCCCTGGAAAATGAGGGTATATTAGATAAGGACAGACATTTAGCCTTGCAACAGCTGGACACATACTGACCCCGAAAGAATGGGTGCAAGGCTTTATAATGTGCAGAGAGCATTGATTCATGAAATCTACTCTGAAGTTGGCCATCGATATTTAAGTGTAGATTCCAATTATATCATTAGATGTACCTAATTAAGGTAAGATACTCTTAGCTCGCTTGAGTAGCTGTTGGAATTCTGTGAAAGTATTGTTTATTTTACTTGATTTTTTTGGTATAGTATCGACTGTCTGTGTGGTCTCGTGAGAGCATGTTCGCCTAGAGTGCCTCAGGTCGGAGGTTCAAAAAACGACAAGGTCAAAGAGAGACGTTAAAATTATTATTTGCTGTTTCAACGCTAAACACGAGGCATTAATAAGTAAGAACAAAGACTGATCGGCTCGGAGTCAGATATGTGTCCGGCAGGGTGACTTTTCTTCCTGCGAACTGTTAATTTGTGAATTAACACGTTACAAATCCGGCTCAACGTGTCGGTCTAGCACAAAGCAGGGTTGATATTCATATCATATTAACATGCTCTCGTCCTGAATATAGACTTTATTTGTCGCTGGACGCTAAGCAGCAATCCTTATCGTCATTTATTCTATTATAGCTACCGTTACTATACAGTGAAATGCTTTTCTTGTACTGGTTTTTATTACACCTCCTTTGATATCCACTGATCGAGAAAAGGGGAAGAAGATATTTTTCAACCACTAAAATGTTCTTTTGCCAGTTGGGATAATTTTGACGGTAAACAATATTAAATTAACTGCGGATTTTTTAGTCATGGGGTGGTTTTGAGCTTGATATTCTGTATAGGCATCTTTCTATTATAAAAGACTGTATGTTGACTCAAAAAGTTTTAATTTATCTGTGTCGTTGCGTTGCTGTCATTAATGTATACCCGTATCTCCGTTAATTCAAACCTAAAGGATTGACTCGAGTATAAAAATATTAATATCTCGACAGTAAACCCGTGCTAAAGGGGTGCGTCTGTTTTGCTGTGCAGATGTATAAATATGTAGCTACGTCGAGTCGAAATGGAGATGTCGTATCGTGTAGCGAGAGTTTCACGCTCTATACACGTTAAGGAACCATTTGAATAACGCTTTGATTGGGAAATAAAATCTACACACAAGTCAAATGATTGAAATCTGTAAACAGCAACTTAGGTCAGTTAGTTCTTCAATAAGTCACATCCCTTATTTTAACACATTGTTTGTGCCTTTTGCGAAGACAATTGTAGTTGAAGAAAAACTTAAAATAACACAAACGGCCAGTAAGACAATATCTACAAATAAATGATACGGTACAAATTCAATCCTTATATAAATTGTTGCCCTTAAAAACACCTTTTTATCTATTTTCGTCTTTAAGAAAACTTTACCAGATAAAGAAAACTTGAAGCAGCAAAATTTGTAACCTAGACAAGTCTGCCTTCGTTGTACGCTTCATATATGAGTTATTGCCACCCAATGAACATTTTGTTATGTTCTACTCCCCTTCCCCTAGTTTGGCTGGATAGCATTCAATGTAACCCTTGATGTGAACTACATTATTTAATATAAAAAAGTAAATTGAAAGAGACAAATGAGGGAAAAATGCTGAAATTAATGTTTATTGCAGATCTTCTTTCAATTGGTGAAAAAATCTAAAATTAAATCATAAAAATCATAAAACATCCAAACTCCTAACACGATTAGGTATGATTCCATCCTTGATCTTCAAATACCATATTATAAGTCAATCCCTATGGCTGTCGCCCTTTTACCCTTCGACATATTCTTTTTATTTCATCATTGGTATAATCGAAAATCTGAAGCAAAGTTACCGTTTTATTGAGTTGTATGTAATATTCAGCTGAATGTTAAGTTACCATCATAAACCTTTTATTTCAAATAAAGTCGAATCGATCGTTTTGATTTTAATACGTAAAAAATATTCATCGTATTTCTCATATGTAGAATCCCCTTTTATAGACGTCTTAATAACTATCCATGTAAATGAAATTCAAAAATTTCATAGTTACTGAAACCCTCGCTTAAAAAAAACAAATATTCAAAAACTAGAAATCTGTTTAATACAATTATTCCCTGAAGACTAATGATTATACATCACTTAATTGATTGATCCCTTAACGTCCAGTGGCAAATATGTCATGCACATTCATGACGTGATGCCAAGTGAGTCGACCTGAAACAAATGTTAACAATGTTAGAGTGACACTTTAATAAAATGGAGCGTTGACTAGAGGTGAAACGTATGCATGCCTTACTAGAATAAAGTTGAACCATGATGAAAATCTTAAGTTAATATTAAGCTATAAACCCCCTTTTTTCTCCACGATAGAAGGATGCCAAAACAAAACAAAATGAATTTACAGGCAATAACGGCCACTTGAAGTAAATGAGATATTTTGTAAATAAATTCCTACTGCAGCAAAAATTTCCCTGTTTCGGAAGGTTTGGATTGCCACTCTAACTCCGTCTGATTACCAATCGGAGAAATTCGAACCAAAGGCTTTTAATTCTTTGAAATTATAAATTATGGTATTTCGCTAGCCGTTTTTATCCGATCCTATTTTGGACCCCCCGATTCTAAGTGGGCGTGTCTAATTAGTCATGCACGATGAACGTTTAGTAAATAGAACCTCAACTTAAAGACCTACACCGAGTTAATAAGTTCGAGGTACAATAAGTAATCAAAAGAGATCCTGTATGAAATGACATCGTCCCAGGTATCTTAGATAATTATTTTGCGTTGAATAACAATGAAAAATGCATGGACAGGTTTCTAAAGGACTATAAACAACATAATGAAATACATTAGTCTATTACATACAATATTCGTGTACATTAATATTAATTAAATTGTGTGAAGTGTTGTTTCCTAAAATTGTCTTCTTGTATTCGATGATTCTATCCTTAATTGTAATTGACCATCAGTGTGGAGAAAAAACATTCAGAATATTTAAATACACATGTTAAATAAAACGCCCTATCCATTTGTTTAACGTTAGGAATAACTGTCTCGTTCACTATATAAAGACGCAAACACGAAATTAGACGCATTATACTTTATCGGACACAAGCTAAATATTGTAAGTAAAACATTATTGAATCGACACATATTGTACATTAACATCGTATTTCATCTCAATAGCTTTTTTAAATAAATAAATATTGCAACAAACTCCGAACGGATTTAATATATATTTACATGATTTATAATATACATTTCATAAATTGTTGGTTTATGAATTAAGAAATTATCAAGAAACTAAAGTTCTAACTCCCTCGCTCAAAGTATTATCTTTAATGGGTTTGGATATCATTTTAGGTCCGTTTTGGTCATATATCTTTAATGGGTTTGGATATTATTTTATGTCCGTTTTGGTCATATATCTTTAATGGGTTTGGATATCATTTTAAGTCCATTTTGGTCATATATCTTTAATGGGTTTGGATATTATTTTTGGTCCGTTTTGGTCATATATCTTTAATGGGTTTGGATATCATTTTAGGTCAGTTTTGGTCATATATCTTTAATGGGTTTGGGTATCATTTTAAGTCCGTTTTGGTCATATATCTTTAATTGGTTTGGATATTATTTTAGGTTCGTTTTGGTCATATATCTTTAATGGGTTTGGATATTATTTTAGGTCCGTTTTGGTCATATATCTTTAATGGGTTTGGATATTATTTTAGGTCCGTTTTGGTCATATATCTTTAATGGGTTTGGATATTTTTTTAGGTCCGTTTTGGTCATATATCTTTAATGGGTTTGGGTATCATTTTAAGTCCGTTTTGGTCATATATCTTTAATGGGTTTGGATATTATTTTAGGTCCGTTTTGGTCATATATCTTTAATGGAGTTGGATTTTATTTTAGGTCCGTTTTGGTCATATATCTTTAATGGGTTTGGATATTATTTTAGGTCCGTTTTGGTCATATATCTTTAATGGGTTTGGATATTATTTTAGGTCCGTTTTGGTCATATATCTTTAATGGGTTTGGATATTATTTTAGGTCCGTTTTGGTCATATATCTTTAATGGGTTTGGATATTATTCTAGGTCCGTTTTGGTCATAAAGCTTTTCTCGTATTTCTGCACTTATATTACTTTGAAGTTTCAAATGTATGGCTTTGTGCGTTCCTGATGAAGATAAATTGAGACAAGCGCTTCGGTCGCAAAGAACTTATAAAGTGTTATTTTCATGTTTTACGTGTATAAATATTTATTTTAACTTTAAATATGCATCATGTTTAACGTGTATAAATATTTATTTTAACTTTAAATATGCATTATGCATTTAAATCTTTCTAAATGATTGAATATGCATATGATCAGACTAGTAAGTGTTTAAGTTTTTTGTTAATTATTATCCTTGCAGGGAACAAAATCAGTACTGTTCAGAATTATCGGGTGTAGTCAATGTATACGGTTCATTCAATTTGCGAACGGTATAAAAATGAGAAGATGTTGTATGATTGCAAATGAGACAACTCTCCATAAGAGACCAAATGACGTAGAAGTTAACAACTATAGGTCACCATACGGCCTTCAACAATGAGCAACACTCATACGACTTAGTCAGCTATAAAAGGCCCCAATGACAAATGTAAAACAATCCAAGCAAGAAATGATCGATTTTATGTACTAAAAAATAAACGAAAAAGTAATGTGATATACAGCAACAAACGATAACCACTGAATTAAAGGCACCTGGCTTAGGACAGCGGCATTTTGCATTGATTGTCGCATGCGAAAAGCCACTGAGACAGAAAAAATCTGAATCTGAACAATATTGTTCTTACCTCAGATATAACTCCAAAAAGTAATTGAAAACAAAGTCGAAGGGACTGCATGGGGTTCAAAAAATAGAAAGGAGCCACATAATAAAGAATAGAGGAAGATAAAACTTTAAAAAAGCCACATAGAAACGATATCACCCCTTATCTAGACCCTCATAATCAGTCACAATATAAATCACATTTAGTTGTTTCTTTAAAAAAAAGTTTCACCAATTACAATACAGCCATTTAATTTCGGTATCTTTTCAAACAATTCTCTAGGAACCATTTGGACATTGTATGTCATATAGCAGACTAGGAAACATGTATATTATATTATTATACTTCACGTAAAAATGCCAGATTTTGATTGGATAATACGAGGGTGATAATTTACTCTATCCCAAGGCTCAGCGGGAGACAATTTTTTTAATGTCACCCTCTCGTGCAGACCAATCAAAAATCGATAATTTAACGGACAATGAATTGAATTCATACGAATAAATTAAAGACAATGCCCAAGGTCTAAGTTTTAGCCTCAGAAGAACTTTTCCATCGACTGTCAAAATGAAAGAAAAATTGTCTTGCTTCACTTCTGTTGTTTTTCTGATAACTGTTGCATTGTTGTGTATGTGACGTTATAGTTAAGTACTTTCAATTTAAAATTTCACAGTAAAAGACAATAATGATTGAACATTCAGTCTTTTAAATTAAATAGCACATAGCTGAGTGGGTGATACAGCAAATTGATAACACTCGAAAAATCATTGTCAACCTCGGCTTCGACTCAGTTAACAATGTTTTCTCCGGTAAACAATCTGCTCTATCACCCTCCCAGCTATGTGCTATTTATATAATGAAAGGAAGTGGTTGAACGAGGTTTTACAGCACGCCATTCATTTTAGTCTAAATTAACTATGGTTCTTATATTCAAAGTCTTTAGTCGTACAGAGAGACTTTAATATCCCCTTGGTACATTTTCTCTCTATTATTATTAAATTTTTGTATCACTAAAAAACATCTATATCATTCATGTTTTTCGAATTTAGTGTATTCGGATCATATTAATTTTGTTAATTATCAATACAAAATTTCCACGGATATTGATAATCTCTTAACATGTACCTTATTGTGTATGTAAAAGGTCCCGACTTTACAAAATGTGAAAACTACGTATTTGTCCATTTTAGTTATTTATGAATAGTACAGTTTAATAACTGAAAAATAAAAAAATGAGATGCCGTTTGGTCAATAACAACGTATTTGTCTATTTTACTTATTTATAAAGGTTACAGTACACTAACTGGTTAATGACTACGCAACGAAAACAAAGCTAAACATAGAAAACATGACTAATACATGGCATTACTTTTTATTATTTTTTTTAGATAGTTTATGATATTAAAGATATTATTTACTCAATTTACCGCTGATTTATTATATCTATTTTTAGGAGAAAATAATGGGACTCTGTTTTTGTTTTCTTGGTAAAGTAGGTTCTCTTTCAAGAGAGGGATCTTATGTAACTATAACTCATCAAACACTAGATCGTAAAGAAACATATAATGACTTGACAACTTATCTTAATGAAAGCCATGAAGAGGCTGATAAACTTCAGCAGAATTTTGTAAGTATGAATTTCTTTCATTTGTTTTAAACTTCTTACAGCTGGTTGATTTAAGTGTTTATTCATTGCTTTATATTTGAATGTGCTTGTGTACAGGTGAGGAAATCACTTTTTATCAGTTGTTTTATATGGACTTGCGAAATCATCGGTTTTTAAAACCGCCCCTAAGTATAGATATTCATAAACAGATGAGACGCCGGCATTGTCTGAAGTAAAAAGTTGTATCTACGTTATTCGGTCTCTCGTTGATTGTTGTCTAATTAGCAATAATAACATATCTCCTTATTCTAAATTAAGATATTCATTGTTGTTCAAAACGATGTCACTGAATTACTTTTTATCATTTCCTAATTAACTTGACGAAAAGTGTCCGAATGGAATGCTGTTGTGTCTTTAGTTATCTATTTCCTTTTTGGTTTTGCATATACTATGAGCTTATTGGCCTACACATTGTATTTACAATTGATACTCTGTTAACATATTAAACAACGTTTTTAGCAAAGAAAGAAATCGGGCCTCGATCGTCGAGTGGTCTACGTAATTCATCTACTGTATCACTTGACTGTCAAAATTGAGGTTGTGAGTTCGAACGCCGTACGTGGCATGTGAGTTCGACTCCAATCTTAATTGACTAGGAATGCCAGTTTTCCTTATCTTCGTACCCTCTTATATAGGATTCTTGCAATACTTTAAGTTAATAACTGAACATTGTATTACAAATTGTCATTTTGCTAAACTGGCAAATGTGGGAATATATGCATTTTATAGTTTCTGGTTTATCTTAATGAGTTTGACAACCCTTGACGTATAAATCCCATTTAGTCTAATAAAGATATTGGTCTATCCTTGATTGAACACTACAATATTATAATGCATTTGGGTCATTTTGCTCTTACTTTATTTTAATTGAGATCAGCTACAAAATAACAATATGAAGGAATGTCTGTCTGCTGCTTGGAACTATTGAACAAAGGGTTCCAAGTTGTAAAGTTTAAGTCATTCATTCGAAAGTTTGATGGAAAGATTCACGAATTCTTTGAATTAAATATATATTTTACAGATAACTATGGATATGCTAATTCGAGTGTCACTAATGATTCTTTTGTCGGGAAAATTCGCGTCGAGCTTTCACCAATGTCGATTGTTTGTTTAACAATATGTCATCCAAACGTAACAAATATATTGTCAAGTATGATTTATCCCTTCCTACAACAGGATCTTTGTATTAACGTCGGCTGTTCTGTCTGATAAAAAAATGTTCATATAAAAGAGAGGCAAAATGAACCACAGAGATATTCAAACTCATAAGTTAAAAAAAAACTGACAATGCCACGGCAAAAATCGAAAAACGATCAAAAGACAAACAGCAATATACAAAACACCAACATAGAAAACTGAAGACTGTGCAACACGAACTAGACTAAAAACCGGAGGTGATCTCAGGTGCTTCGAAAGGTTAGTAGATCCTGCTCAATGTCTGGCACCCAATGTGATGCTCATGAAAGTACAAACCCGGTGATAAGTCTAATTTTTTAGGTCACATTCGAGAAGAGGACTGGATTGTGGTTACGACAATTGGAACATATATGTAGTCATATTCCATAACTGTCAACCAACTCTTGATGACGTCGTTACAATTTTCGAAGGGATGATTTCAACTTCACCGCTGGGAATTCCTGGTTTAAAAGCTTCCTTATAATCAACAATCCTTTTTCGAGGAAATCATGATAAGAAATGCAAGTCCTGAAATATCGCAACAACTGGACGATATATACTCCATATGCAGGTACTGCTAGAATGTTGTCCATTAGATTGACAAAAATTCTCTCTGCAGAGAAAGGTGGTCTTTAGAAATACTGTTAAACTCTCTACTCGCGTAGTGGTATTAACCATATGTGGATTCTGAAAAAAAAACTCTAAAGAACTTCTGGACAATTGTAAATCTCGATCTTTCTCTGAAATTAGTTCTATCAAAACGTTTGATTTTTCAACCCTGTTTACCACCATTCCCAATGTAAAATTAAAAAATAGTCTAAACGAAAAATTCACAATGCTTTTCAATATAAAAATGGTAGCATACGCTATCAATTTATTGCTTCGGGATACCATACGGCATATTGTGTTGATAGTTAACCAAAAAGTAAAACATGCTACACAGAGGAACAGGTGATCAGTATGCTAGAGTTTCTTATTGACAACATATTTGTTGAATTTGGAGGTAGACATTTTAAACAAACTGTCGGCATTCCTAAGGGAACGAACTGTGCGCCTCTCCTTACTGACCTCTTCTTTTTTCATATGAGTCAGAGTTCCTTCAGACACTTATCAAAACAAGAAGATCAAAGAAGCCAATTCATTTAATTTCTCATTATGATATATTGATTACGATCTTTTCATTAACAATCCAAACTTTTCTGATTGGGTTTCATTAACATATCCGCCAGAGCTAGTAATTAAAGAAACAACAGTCACGGCTTCCTCTGCCTCATTTTTAGACTTATACCTCGAACTTGACATAAGCGGTCATCTCAGTACCAGAATCTTTGACAAACGAGACGATTTTTATTTTGAAATTATCAATTCCCCCACCTTAGTAGCAATATACCAACTTCATCTGCATATGGGATATACATTTCTAACCTCATTCGGTATTCAAGAGCTTGCAGCTGCTACTCAGACTTTATAAAACGTCACTAGTGTCTGACCAAAAAGCAGGGTTACGTCAAAGAACGTCTCGTGTTTTTTTTTTAAAAGTTCATTGGAAGATACCAAGAGCTTGGTGATAAATATTCCGTATCAACTTCCAAAAATAATACATGATGGTCTTGAAGTATAGATTATGTGTACTGACGTTGTTTGTCATCTTAATTACGTGATATAGTGTTCTTTTTATTTGTCTTTGTATACTTTTAACCTTTACTGTTTAGTCCATTTTTAGCAATTAATGTTTGGCGTGGCTCGGTATTTATACATCCGGCGATTGTGTTATTGTGCTATGGTCATTTTTGTATTTTTTTCTATCATTTTTGCATATGAAATTTGTCTATATTATGTCTGTTATAATGGAATTATAATCGACGGTCATACAAGTGAGGGGCTTAGCTAGCTTAAAAAAACAGGTATAATACACCATTTTCTACAAAAGGAAATGCCTGTACCAAGTCAGGAACATGACAGTTGTTTTCCATTCGTTTGACGTGTTTGAGCTTTTAATTTTGCTATTTGATAAAGGACATTCCATCTTGAATTTTTCTTAGAGTTCGGTATTTTAATTATTTTACTTTTTGGTACACAGAAATGGAAAGTTCACAATTGGTAATCAGAAATCATCCCTTTTGTGGTAAAGTTTTGTTCTCAACCTAACCTCATTGTTAATGTATTAGACTAAGTCGAAATATCAGGCAGACTGAATGGTATCTATTGTATCTTTTATTTCAAGTTTAATGGGATAGATGCGTTCAATATTGTCACAAAATCATTTACTGAGAGGACATCATATAAATAGCGAGACGTGAAGGTAAAAGATAATGCTAGATTCTTTTCATTTTTCCTAAGAAGCTCCTGTATGAGGTCAGCCTCATATGAATAAAGCAACAAGTCAGGAAGACGAGAGCACATTTGGTTCATGTGGGAATGCCAATCATTTGTAGAATAAACACGTCCTCCAAACTACAATTATGAAAATCTCAATATGGGGATTATATGAGTACATGCATTTCTCCAGTTTGCAAATTATTAAAAATCTTTCTTGTTATTAAAGATTTTCTCTGTACAAGAACACTAGCTACATATTTATAACTATTTTTTATACATTATCAGTATCACAGTTTCATATGTGTATATTTTAAGTGTACATTGAAGTTAAAACTTTACAACAATGTATAAATCTACAGCTGACAAACTTCAAAATGTTATGGTTTTATAATACGCCCTTCTTCATGTTAATAGATGTTTTAGATTCAACAATGAAATCTATAATTATCTCATTCTTGCCCAGCACAGGCATGACATATTAACACATGACAAAGTTAAGCGCATCTTTTGAACATATCTTCTTTTATCTACTGAATCGTATCTTCAGCATTAGTCCTAACAAAAATATTTCTTTTAAATTGATTTCGTTCGATTTGAGGCAATACTTGAGCTGCATCGGATAATCGACCTTATGCAAGTGAATATCAATACATCTGTTAACCTACTTCGGGTTGACAAAATCTATATGCAAAGTCTGTAACTGTTTGAGAATTGAGTTGATATAATAACCCTACAAAACAGACCAAACATCATCTTTTATTTTGTATTTGAATGTTCCAAAATCAATCAAAAACCTATACATGTACATGTATATGTGCACTTGCATAAAGTCTATTTCTATCTGACGCAGCTCATATGTGGACAGTTTCAAATACTTCCTTTTTGATATTCTGGTTACTTAGGTTACACTAAAATGATTACATTTCGATTACTTTAGTAATATAGTTAAAAGGAAAATAGACAACGATAGGTATCCGTTAGTTTCTGGTACAGATAAAATAGAATGTATAAGTATGACTTGAAGAGTTCTTTCTAATGGTTTATTCAGAAATGTTTTTGTCTCAAAGCTACTTTATGTTTAACCAGATTTCCGGATAGATTTTAACGTATTTTCAGCTTGTGTAAACAAATGACTTACAAAGCTTCAAAATATTCAAAAAATTGTTCTGGTATATGATATATAGTAGACAACTAGCCTAAATTAGAGTATGTGCCTCTATTACAAGAATATTGTTAATAAAAAAAGTATAACACAAATACTGAAGTCCAAGGCAAATTCAAAAAGGGGAAGTCCATAAAAACTGACAAAATCAAACCCTATCAACCAACGGAAAAAGTGATAAACAACTGCCATATTCCTGACGTGGTATAGGTATTTTCCGCAGAAACTTGGTGGGTTAAATCTGGTTTTATAGCTAGCTAAACCTCCCACTTGTATGATAGTTGTTTATAGTTCTGTCATATCAACAACATTGGGTAAGCAACCCATGATTTGGATCCTTGGTTTGAACTTCTATCTAGAAAACAAATGTTTCCTAATCAAACAAAAATGAATTGCTTTTAATACAGTAATCGATTATGATCGATATCATACAGAAATCAGTGTGATCGATTATTAATTGATTAGACAAAAGTTCTTCAAGTACTCAGTTAATACTTTTGACACAGTATGACTTGATTTCTTTATCTTATTAGCCCACTAGAAAATACGGCTTGTGTAAATAATGCACATTAGCATATTCATCCCTTTCGAAATAATTGATAGCACTATCAGTTTTGGTGTTGATAATGCTACAATCGTTAGCTTCAAAAAATTCGTTTGAGGAGTTTACTTTGAGTATTTTCTTCTATGTTTTCCATGAATCTTTCGAGTTTTATTTACGTAGACATCATTTTGGACATCAAAAAATGTAAATAACTAGAGTTTTTAATCCTCATTTGTGATTAAATTTTTCTGAGTGTAGCAAAAATGTTTAAAACAGCATTACGTATATTTATCAGGCAAACAAAGTGATACAAAGTCCCCGAATGAATAATGCTGTCAGAAAGAAAGTTGAAAAAGAATTAAGAAAGTCAAAAGAGGCCAAACCTCTGTCAGAAAAGAAGGCAGAGCAAATAGTCAATGATATACAAAAGGTAGGTACACGTTAAAGTATACTGTCAAATTATAATGAGATCGTTTCCTGTTGATAGGCACATTGAATGTTTTATAGATCATTTGGGTATCTTCTACCAAATGGGAAACAACTTGACAATATCGATATAAACATGTACCGGTGTCGTCAAACCAAATGTAAGCATGGAGGTTGTAGATTACATCTCATTTCGTATATATTTAACAACACAGAATTCGTCCGGTAACAATTTGTTCTACGTTGGAAAAGGACTTCATCAGCATTTTATCTTTGTTTTAATGCATATGTTCCTATTGTACCTTTGTTTTATTTAGCCACGATTTCCGTGTATTGTGAATTTACAAAAAATGTGTCGCTCTGTATTTTTTTTTCTTTTAGCCATGATAATTATTTTCTTTCAAAAACAGGGTACATTGTACTTCATTCCATTCCATTTGTCTTCTATTTTTTGGCATTTTATCTAAATAATAATTCCTTGGAATTGTTGCGTATACATGGACACGATTGCAACCCAACAACTACCCAAACAAAATCATACAAACGACATTGACTGCACATTGACTGCCACGACATACGAGTGTCTATATCATATACCGAATCATTAATTGTTCTATCCTTATGACAAACTTTAACAAACATGGGTTCCGTTGTAAGAAGAAATAACACAGTGCAAAATAATTACATACTATAAGAAGGCTTGCAGTAAGCGAATGCGAAATCTGTGACTTGTATATACCTAGTTAGTATTTTTTTTTTTTTTTTCGAGATTTTTATTACTCATGTTTTCAGGAAAACAATTGGTTAAAAAGTTCCCGAGAAATTGTCACAGATGTAATCACCAAGCTTAATGACGCCCGTGAAGATTATCCTTCTTTTATAGATAAACATCCCAATTACAAGAAACTAATTGATAAGCTTAAAACAGATGCTATGACTTTGATAGAAAGTAGAATAAAACAAATTATAAACCAACCAAGTTGTGCATTCGTAGCAACAGAAAGTTCTGATGACAGCGAGCGAAACAAACGGGCCAAGTAATCATGCGAAGAGTAGTAATGATTCTAAGCACAGTTTAGAATGCGTAAGCGAAAACGAATCAAATTATGGTGTTGAAACTGTTGAGAAATCTGATCGTTATCACAAGCAGGTGCACGCTTATAAGTTGCTTTATGAATGTACATTAATATTGAAAGCAGTACGCGACGATTTTTCCAAAATATACTCAATAATAGAGGGTATAATGTGCCAGGCAAAAATATAAAAGTTATATTAGAGGTAAACAATATTGTGTATTATGTATTTACAATTGTATGAACATGATAAATAAAGGCAACAGTTGTATATCGTTGTTCAAAAGTCATAAATCGGTAGAAAAAAAAACAAATCGGGGTTACAAACTCAGCCAAGACAGAGGGCAACCCAGCAAACACACAACATTTTAAAAACATTTTTTAAATGTCATATGGACGTCTCTCACAAAATATTTCAATAAGATATCATTTAAACATAAAAAAAATGTTTATTTTATTGTTTTTGAAATGTTTTATTTCTAACATTTAAGTAAAATGTTTTTACAACATTAACAAAATATTATTTGCTAATATCTTTTATTCATGTTCTCAAACATTGTTCTAAAATATCCCGTAGATATTTTATAATATAAAAAAATAATATTTTCTTCAATTGGTATTTTATATTTTAACAACATTTAAAGTAAATATTTTCCAAATATCCAAAAAACATTCTGCAAAAAAATGTTTTACAGAAAATATAGTTTTGCTATTTGCATAAAATGTTTTATAACGTAAAATTAAAATGTTTTACATAAAACATCTGAAAAATATCAGCTAAATGTTTTCTATAAAATATTCTGACATACACATTACTTAATAGTCTTACTGATATTTTATTCAACATTTTACGGATATAAAAATAACATTTTATTTAAATTTTATTCAAAACCCCACAAACAACGTTTTGTGGAATTAGCTCGTTTTTTTTCAGGATAAGATATAGTACTACATTTCATCAATATCATCACAAGCAAGATACTATGCATGGTTGAAATCCTTAATTGATATCTTGAAGATCCTTGAAGTCAGATTTTATTTCTTCTTATATTAAAATTCAAAAGAGTCAACATTAAATTAAGCAATAATGTATTAATAAACAATCACGTTTCTTTAATGTTTATTCATTTCGTTCGTGTATATTTTAGAAATTAAGAAAATGAAAACTGTAACTGTACTAAGTTCAATTTTCGTATCGTTTATATGCCTTACGGAAAACCGACCTTTTCCGGAATCGACTTTTGTTTTATCACCGGAAATGATTTTGAAATTTGAATTTCGAAACGAAGACAGGATATCAACAAAGAGAGCCACGAAAATTGTTTGTTACGCGATATATACTCACTTGGTAAGAATGATTAATCTGTTAAGATGAAACTTGTGCATTCATTGTGTGTGTCACAATCATAATCGGAACCAAATTACATCTGTTTCTGGAGGTGCGGATCAAGGTTTTGAAAAAAAGGGGGCCCCCTGCCCAAGGCAAGCAAACGTTTGGAGTGATACTTGTAAATAGTCTATACATTTATCTTATAAGTAGCTCCATAAGGGGGTCGGGGCCTCTAAATCCGCCACTGTTCAAGCATCTACGTACACCAATTATGAATTTGTTCATTGATCTGTTGATATAAAAAAATTATAAGGATATGTGGCTTGTGTGTTTGATTGCCAATACACCTTATCGCTATTTGTCCGCCATTACTGGCCATGGACATCACAAAAGTTCCAGTAAAATGTTGACGTCATATTAGAAAATATTTGATTCCACAATTGAAAGTAATACACCTTATTGCTATTTGTCCGCCATTACTGGACATCACACAACCTTCACAAGTTCCCGTAAAATTTTGACATCATAAAAAATATCTGATGCCACAATGGAAAAGTGATTGTTGTTTGAGGTCAAAAGTTCAAGCAGGATAGATTCTCGGGTCAAGCGGGAATAGCGATCAGGTGTATTATTGTATGACGTATGCTGACGTAAAAAGTTCAAGCGGGACAGATTTCCAAATACTGAAATAGCGATAAGGTGTATGAGACAGCTATCCACCAGAATTTAAATGACTTGGATAAAAGAAATTATAGGTCACTCATGACCGTTTTGGAAGCCTTAGGTCACTGTACTGCTTTCAAAACTGAGAAAACCAATGCCATATAGTCCACTTTGAAGCCTTGACAAACAAATGTTAAATTTTTCTAAACACAATTGAAACAAAACAACTAACTGCATACATTAAATACACATTATGAAAAAGAAATTTGACAGACTTAAACCAACAACAACTATTGCAATAAGCATGACTCACTACCTTGTTTCCGAGGCACACAAACAAGTTACAATAACACTAATATAAGCACCATTTGAATATGGAGATTTTTTTTCTAGTAAAATCAGTGTATGTATGTATTTGCAAAACAGTAAATTAAATTTCCCTTAACAGCTTAATGAACATTACAAAGACTATGGAAGACTTCAGTACAAGCAAGATAATATAAACTGTTGCTTAAAATTATATTTATTGCTTCATACACACAATGTACATACAATGTATCTTTAATTTTTTTAACAGGAGCTAAAAGAAAAGCCACAAAGGACAAGTTCAATATGCAGGTTTACAATTTGGAAGTGGCGCAGGTTCTTTGGAATGTCTACAACCTTTCAGGAGAATTTTTTTTTGAAGTAAGATTTTTATACAGAATTACTGTCATGACTGTTATTCCATAATTAATTCAAATATTTAGCATAAACAATGCATTACATTCAAGATTAAGGGCATACAATACAGAAAAGATATCTGGATATTTGAATAAATTATTTTTTTTGTGACAAAATAGAAACAAGTTGTTTATTTAAATCAATCTTTTAGTCCAACAGTGTGCTTTCATAAACAACACATTTGCTTTCCTTTGAAGTATTTCAAATACATATAAACAACTCATTTAATGACATCTGTGTGTTTCTCGGAAGTTAAGTTATATTATTATCATCATTGCGAAAACAATGCGTAACACTTCGATAAGTTATTATGTGCCTATAGTATACTTCTAGGACTGTATCATATGCCCTTAGATACAAATGACAAGTTATAAACTATGTCACTCTACGTACAGAGTTTAACACTTAAAAAGGACAATAAGATGTTTAATGACATTATTTAGCAGGGCTTTTAAAGGCCCCTACATGATACAATGCATTTTATGAAAACTAAAAAAAAATAAGAAAAACAACAGCCTGATTTATACAAAACAATAAAAGAAAAAAAATATGATAGACAACAATTAACGAGTATAATGAAATAAGACTCTTGACTGGACACATATCTAGTCTAAAGTTTTTATGTGGTTTTTTTTTAATAACTAAATGAAGTTCAGCGTGGCATATTGCTCTCTCTTAACACGGTCAGCCATTTATCGTCCCCTTCCGACAGACTATCATCGTTATTTGTTTCAAAACTTTAAAGGGGAGGGGATGTATATCCTTCAGGCAACGTGAATCGTTCTATAATAAAGGAATGTGCAAGAAGTTTATATATGAATGTAAGATTAATTTTTTTTTCAGAAGCATGGCACAGCAAGAAATAGATATAAGACACTACAAGACATTCCAAGTGATTTTGAATAAGACAATTGATTGACTTTTTCAATGTATTCTTAAATAAATCAAATAGTTGATGTAAAATGGTGTTTTGTTCTCATCTCTTCAGTCAATTATCAATGATTATTGACTTTAGATGTAACCCTATTAGAAGTGTAGCGTTTTAGTTTAGAAAGAGAAGTTGTATTGAAAAATCTGAATTTGGGACACAAGTTTTAGTCAATGTAACTTGAACTTAAAAATGTGTATAATGTTTGCATAATGTCCAATGGGATATATGTCATGCATGTTCAGGTTGACATATGCATGATGTGTATAAGATAGGTAATAAAAGTTGAGAGTGAAAAACTAAACATTATACCATTGTGGTTGGAATGTGGGCCTTCTTGCACTGTCTGTCGTCTGTCCACCTATATTTGTCGGATTTTGTCCAACAAATATTTTCATCACTGTTTTTCCCAAAACTGCTGATAAAGATGAGTTCATATTTAATGAGCTGCTTGATAGTGATGAACTCTGATGTGTGAACATTTTTGTATCTGGCACCTGTTTCCTGTTTGCTTATACATTGTATTTCAAAATGTTGAATGTTCTCAAATTTTTCATTACTTTAATTAGTAATGCTGATGAACAGAATGACTTTATATTTGGTAAGTGGCTTGACCATGATGAGTTGTGTCTGCCATTTTGGATGTGTCAAAATTTTTAGATACTTTGAATTGTGAATTTCATATGCTTAGCAAAACAACTGATTTATTCTTGTTTGTATACAGAATTAATCACTGTGTATAAATTAATTTAACTAATGATTTGTTATTTAAAAAAGCAGGAAACTCAATCAAAAGTACAGAAATTTTTATATTGATATGATCTAGATATCAACAAAAAACATCTTCTTAAAAAATTTTGAAAACATTTTTTAGGCACAGTCTCAGTTGCAAGAAAACATCCAAAAAACATTTTTATAACATTATTTGATATTCATGATGTTTTTCAAACGTTCAGAAAATATTTCTAGAAAATATTTTTTAAAAGATTATCAAAATGTTTTATACGCCATTGTTTTTCACATTATCATGATATTTCTTTACAACATTTTAATTATATTATGCAAATATTTTAGAAAATATATTAGAAAACGTTTTAGCGATATATATTCTACCATACATTTAATGTTTTTCTCACGTTTTTTTGTGATATTTTCATGACATTAGACACAACATTTTAAAAACATTTTAAAGATGTTTTTGTGTTTGCTGGGAAGAAATCAACTATAAGATTAAAACAAAGTAACAACAGAAACAATGAAGTGCAGCAACAAAAACGATCGGCAACATACATAGCTACAGACTCTTTGATATTACTGCCATATTTCTGACTTGATACAGGACATTTTAATAGAAAATGGTGGATTGAACCAGGTTTTATTGCTAGCCAAACCTGCCGCTTATATGGCAATGTTAAAAGATGTTGCTTAAATGACAACACTACATGGCGGGAATACAGTACAAACAAACTCATGACCACTCAGCACACAGAAACGCATAAAAAATAATATAATTGTACATTACTAACATGTAAACCCACGATTAACGACGAAATTCTTGCATTAACGACAGCAGATGACTCCACAAACAATAACGTATCCTTGACCAGCTACTTTTGATAAAAGTGAACGAATCAAACATCTATATTTATCAACCTTAGAAATTAATTCATGTTGATGGCAGTATCTGCTAATAAGTGAACAACCTAACTACCAAAAACAAACGAGAAAGCGGTAAAGATATCAGATTTAGTTCCAAGCTTTATCATATTGCACTACTCTAAATTTGACAAGGATGGAAAAAAACAATGAAAGAACGATCATGATCCACAATTTTATGTTCGGATATCAAAGCATTAGAAAATAAACTAATATATTTAAGAAAATCATTGCTTCAAATTATCCATCGTTTTATAATTGCAGTAATTGTAATGCATATTTGTTATTGATATTCATAGCGTATGTTACTCATTTGCATTGTACGATTTTAATTGTTTAGCAAGTTTTGAATTTATAGTATGCGCGCTTTACTAATTTACTTCCTAATTGAAACTGAGAATTGAAAAACATGACCAGATAATCAATATGAGAAAAAAGAGTTATAATATACCAAGGGGACATTCAAAATATATGGTAAAATGTAAAATAACATAAAATACCGAACTCTGAGGAAAATTCAAAACGGAAAATCCCTAATCAAATGGCAAAATCAACAGCTCAAACACATCAAACGAATGTATCACAACTGTCATATTCCTGACTTAGTACGGTCTATTTAGAAAATGGTGGATTAAAGCTGGTTTTAGATCTAGCTTAAACTCTCACTTGTATGAAAGTCGCATTAACATTCCATTATATTGACAACAAAGTGCGAGAAAAACAAACAGACATAATAGGTATAAATGTCAAAATTAAAAGCACAGCAGTCAGCATTTTGTTATAATCTTAATCACTATAAAAACAAACAAATATGTCAACAAACAAAGACAAAAAGTCATATAGACAAAGCATATTTATTTAGCTAAAACGAAATACAAAAATACAAAAAAACACCATTGATAGCACAATAATACAAAAACGGGATGTATAAGTACCGAGATACGTCAAATGGATATTTCCAAAAATAGGATAAACGGTAAAAGTAATTCTTTACAAAGAAATAAAAAAAAAGAACACTATAACACGTAATTAATAACATAAACGGTACCAGTTTTCTGCACCAGATGCGCATTTAATGAATCGATGTCTCTACAGTAATGCTTGAGGCCAAAATATTTGAAAATCCAAAGCTTATTAAAAATATAAATCAATAAGGACAAAGCCAAAACTGGGTGAGGAAAAAGAGCTTTGCATGAGGAAGATACATTCCTTATTTTTAAACAATTTTCAAAATTTTGTAACCGCAAATTCTATTAATACAAAATCCGTATTTTCATGCCAATACCAAAGTTAAGGCTACTGGGCAGGTGATACCTTCGGGGACTATCAGTCTACAGCACAAGCATCGAATCAGTGGTAGTTATAACGTAACGATACCAATTTTTCTGCACCAGATCCGCATTTCGACAATCAATGTCTCTTCAGTGATGCTCCAGGCCAAAATATTTGAAAATCCAAAGCTTATTAAAAATATGAAGAGCTATAAACCAAAAAGGACTAAAAAGCATATCTAAAGCTGGGAAAGGAACCAGAGCTTTGCATGCGGGAGAAACATATCTCAATTTTAGATAATTTCAAAAATTTTGTAACAGCATGGTGATAAACAACGTCAGTACTTAGAATTCAAACTTCTAAACCATCGTGTCTTATTTGTGAAGTTGATACGGAATATATATAAACAAGGTCTTTTGTATTTTCTGATGAACCTTTTTTTTTTAGAAAAAGGACGAGACGTTCTTTCATATAAACCTGGTTCATCAACTTTCTGCTCAGACACTGGTGACGTTTTACAAAGTCTGTGTAGGAGCTGCAAGCTCTTGAATACCGAATGAGTTATGAAATGTTAATCCCATATGCAGGTGATGTTGGTATATTGCTACTAAGGTGGGGGAATTTGATATTTCCAAAATAAAAATCGAATCGTGTGTCTTCGACCCTGGTACTGAGAAGACCGCTTGGGTCAAATTCAAGCTATATGTCTAAAAATGAGGCAGAGGAAGCCGTGACTATTGCTTCTTTTATTTCTGGAAAATAAACGTCCAAACAAATTCTTAACATTCTGATATTGTGTTTATTGGTGCGTAACCTTCTGCGTTGAAAAGATTATTTTATAATATTTTACTGTCTTAGAATCAGATATCTTTAATGTATAAAATATGTCTTTCCGGGTACAAAGTGAGACTAATATTTCACAAATTTAGAAACCCAAAACGGCTACATGTGATGCAGCTTCGGCAGTAAGAAAGTCCTTATTTTCACACAGTTAAATTCTCTAGAAATTCAGTTCTTTACAAACATTTGATAACTCAACAGTTTTTACATCTATATTGTACAGTCATCTGCTCTTCAAAAAAGCACACTTGGCTAAGCTCGGCAGTTAGAAATTTCCAATTTTCACACAGTTAAATTCTCTAGAAATTCAATTCTCTACAAACATTTCATAATTCCAAAGTTTTAACATCTTTATTTCACAGTCGTCTGTTCTTCAAAAAAGCACACTTGGTTAAGCTCAGTCAATTACTCAAAATAGTATCGTGTCTAATATCATCACTACATCAATCTTCGAAATGCGTATTTAAAGTTGGACATTTGTACCATGTGTGTAATTACTACCACCGGATCAGTATTTTCATTGGTGGACTGCTTGTCTCCAGGGTTTAATCAGCCAAGTAGCAATTTTTTCAGTACTAGCATGAACTAATAGATATTGTTTTATTGAAATTGGATGTTATGGAAAACGCAATAATTGTACATTTTAAAATGTACATCTCCTTCAACCATAGCTCTGATTCTCTGTGCGGGTTTAGCTTTCTTTTTTGTTGGTTCTTTTTGGTTTGCAAGATGTCTTTTTTTTTTCATTCTGTCTATGAAGGTTTTGTGCGAATTCTACTTTATATGAGAACAAATCTAATAGGCCAGTAGGGGGTGACAATAAGATAGTGTTTGAATACCGACTGTCTGTTGAACTTGTCGAACTGACAATCCAGCAAACTCAACAAATAAATTGGCTATAAAAAATCCATCATTTAGATATAATCTTCGGCGTATGTGTTATTGGTATCAGTGCGGCTCTTAACTAATATTTACAAGGACAAAAAATAAGAAATGTGTACCTACAATTATAAAAACCAGAATGTTTTCGTTCTGACATAAGCATATGTAATTCCGAAAGCAAGATATATTATTATTTAAAGACGTTATTTAAGCTGTGCAAGTTAATTTATCTTTTCAATGAAATTTTACAGAAGGTGTTGGTGTTTTCTTCTTTAAGAGACCTGCAATTCGGAAAAAGGAACAAGCCGTTCCAAGAAACTTCCATGAGACAAAGACTGAGCTTCTCGAGTAAATTAAGATCATTTCAGTGTATTACTTAGTACAGGTTATCTGTTAATATGAGAGATACTAGTAGTAGAAAACGATCTAAATATGTAATATTTTAATCAAAAATACGTATTTATTAGAATAAAATCACATAATCAAATGAGGCAATTCAAGAGTAATGAACAGATTTAGATGTAAAAGACAAAACTATTTAAACAAACAGCCATCACACAAACACATTCTCACTCTCTCTTTAAATTTTACATTCGATTTTTTTAAAGTAGACTCGATAGAAATTTGTACAAAGAAAGATAACTCTTTTTGTTTTAAATATATATGTTCATACCTAAAATTGCTCTGTGAACTTTTCCTAAACTATCATTGAAGACAAAAGGAAGAGTTTATGATAGTTAAGATATGTGATACACCTGACAATATATTTGATGTAGTTGGTAACTTAAAGGTAAACTAAATTAAAGTAAGATTTATAGGACTGAAGGAATTAATCCTTCGAAGGGAACAACATAAACGAAGAGGAAATATGACTTTGACAAGAGAATAACAAGGTTTGCTTAAGATTTAAAGTTCCTTGAATAGGGAAAGCGATTTTTAAGAAAGATATTTATGATATACTACAGTGTATATTTATGAGGATATTCCACTTATATCGAGGAATATTGTTCGATCCGAACGGTAAAACATAATCGATGAATTGATGACACTTCGTCCAATTCCTGCAGCATTCGTGTCTGTTGTAAATACCGTTACGCAATCTCAATTCTTGCTGTTTCGTGTTTGTTATTAATGAATACAAAAATAGTTTCATTCGGAACCTCCCTACCAAAATTTAATTAGAAAGCATAAAATACAATATCAGTTTCAGGTGCACTATTCTAAACTCATCGGAAATGGTATACGTTTTAAGTATAAATTATTTACAAGAGAAGACCAGCAGATATATCGGAAATATTGCATATTTTGTAATTGACAAAGAAATCTACACGACATATTTGATACTATGTCACCGATAAAACATGGATAGTATAAATAGTTATTTAAAGAATTGCTTATTCGGTTGAGTAAAAGTTATTGTTATAAACAAAATCTACTGATCAGTGAATCGTCGATATTTTACGACATTGAAGTGTGTGTAATTTTGAGGAATATGAAGAAAATATTGTACAAAGTTTCAAATATAAAGAAATGCATGTTTTTAACAATTGTGATTTTTGTGTTTGGAAATTTGTATATGTTATTAACACATAACAAATCAAGAGGTAAATAGTTATTAGTGTATATGTATGAATGTTTGAGTTTTTGCAACTTTTTGTTGTTGTAAGCTAAGCTTGATTGATAGATTTAAAAAATACAAAATATCTTCCTAACGATGTAAATATTCAGTAGTATTTATTTACATGTTCCCTTAAATCTTTCTTTGTTGTTTAAGTGGCACGTATTTTAAAGCTGTATAAGTTCACATAAGAAAGAATGATGTATTTTTTAAAACAATAAATCAATACAGTAGGTAAAATTATATTGAAGACCATTGAACCCAAAAATCATTTCTAAACGCTAAAACAGTGTCCGAAACATCATAGCGACAACGTTTCTAATATATATGTATAATTAAATGTTTGGTTATATTCACTATTTTATACTACTATACTACTATACAGTCATGCATATTTTCAGGAAGTACATTTTGCACTAAGTATTTTTTTTTTACCAAAGAAATTCAATTTTATTCAAAAGCGGATGTTAATAAATAATACTCTTACATTCCAAAAATTCAAAGCATGCATTTTATTCTAGTCTAAAAAGACGAATTTAAATATGAACATATAGAAATGAATTATTTGTCTGACTTACATAAACATGTAATAAAAAAGAGATATTGTACCTCATGTAACATTTAAGGATGTTTGCTCCTCTTGTTTTTGATTTTTAGCCAAATATTCGGAATCCTCTGGTTTTATCATGTAGTACTATTAAAACGATTCCTCACTTACCCTACTTTTCTTTTAATAATTTAGTTTAAAAAGGCATATTTGAAAATCCTATAAAATCCTTGTTATTTTTTTCATAATTTTGAAAAAAAAAGGGTGTCAATGTTAAATATATGAAACGTCTAGAGAGAATTATTTCCCGTTACATTTATAATGGCTTATATCTCGAAAACAAGCACACGAACCCTTCTTTCTTTTCTGCTTTTTTGGTTCCTTTATTTAGATTCTATCTATTTATAACATTCTTTTACAAAGCTTGTTATTTTGAAACGGAGTAGCAAAATCCTTAATATTGCTTTAATATTGCTTTCTACAAAACATGAGTTCTTTGTCTTAAGCTGGTCATTATCTTCTCCTTTAAGTAGTACTTTTTTCATTTTTTCTTTATGCTGACATCTTTAAAAGAAATAGATATGATTATAGGATTTATTGTACCTCGAAAGCAAAATGCAGGAACGGTGATAAAAGCAAGAAATCAAATTGTAACAGAGATGACATCACCTTTTCTTCTGGTGAAAAATGACAAGGAATGGATTGAGGAAAAACCAGAACCTGGTTGGTAGCTTTATAATAGTATTGTTATTTATTAGTAGTTTTGTTTAATCTAGTATTTGAACTTTTTTTATCATTTCACTAATTAAGTTTAGGGGGCATAAGAAATCTGATAAAAGATCCTTACTGGATAGTGATAAATTATCCAAGGCCTAAGCAAATGAAAATTGTTTAGAAAACAAACTTTTTCTTTATTGTAGTAGTCAGTGTAACAATTTGATTTTGTTGATTTAAGATGGAACTGTTGCTCGTTTCCCTCCAATATGGCGGAAAGGAAAATAAAAAATAAACACGATAACGCACCACAACCTAACAAAATAGTAGAGTATGAAAAAGAATTTGCTCTCATGCTTTTACAAGGAGGTATTCCCTTGTTAGAAGTTAAAACTGTTCGTGGTGTATGACAAAATGTTTTAGGACTTTCTAGTTTAATTTTGGAATGCATGAATTTCTTGTCTTTTTGTGTTCAATGACTATAAATGTACAAAACGTCATGATAAAAGTCATGTATTATTCTTTTTTTCAGACAACTTTTGCAATAATGTGACCTGTGTATTAATTGTCGGTTATGTTCGTGGCGGAACAACAATGATATTGGATACATTGGCCGAAACGAATAGTAATTTTTATTTGTTTGAACCTATACGAAACCTGACAGAAAGCTCTTATGCAAACATGCCAATTACTTTCTATAACGGAACAGTAAGGTAGATATTCCAAATTTTTAAAATGATATCAGTCAGTTTATTTAGCAATAAACAGAACTGCATGCCATTCTTTCCTTTTGTTGTGGCTCGATTTCTGTGACTTTTTTTCTGTATTTCAAACAACAAACAAATACAAACTTTCTAAAATCATAAGTATACTCTTTTTGCAATTTTTTGTGTACATTTTAAATGCTATTATCTCGAAGTATAGAACATATAATATCATTTGTACCGTTTCAGTAGTACTTGTAAATTATTCTACTATTTTAGTATCGCAAAAAGAGGCAGATCATTCAAAAAGGAGTATTCTTTAACTTTTTAGGTCATTTCTCCCTTTACTTTATTTTTGGTCCATTATTCTCTATTCTCTATATTTCAGCACTCCATTATTCACCATTCTTTATATTTTTTATCCTTATTCGGCACTTTTTATCCATTATTCTCTATCCATACCCTCAGAAGTCGAAGAGAAACGGACGAAATGACGAAAAGGTAAACAAAAGTCTATAGAAAATAACATACAAACAAAATACTGGGCAACACGATCCCCATCAAAAGTAAATGGAAATGTCTGGTGCTCCGTAATGTTTTCAGATCCTGATCCAACTGTGGCACCCGTTATTTTCTGTGTAGCTTTTGTACTATGCCTGTTTAATGCTTAACAGGCATACAGGTACACATTTATTTGTCATGGTTCTCTTCTCATTTTTTCAAATTATGTGCACGATATTCAGAAGGAAGTACATGTCACTGATAAGTATAACTTGATTTTGACTTTATTTCGACTTCTCAAACTACCGTGATCAAATTTATTCTCTATTTTTTTTTTTCAGAAATATTTCTATGCATCGAAACTTACCCAAAGTACAAACTTTATTTGGTCAAATTTATTCTCTATTTTTTCCAGAAATATTTCTATGGATAGAAACTTAGCCAGAGTACAAACAGAAATGTTAAATCATTGGTTCAACTGTTATTTTACTAAAATAAACATTGGAGACCTGAAGAATAACCATCTAATACACTCTCGTGCCACTAAGTCATACTTTGCTTGTTTGAGAAAATCACCATTTCCATTTTGTATTAAAATGTTGGAGAGCGTATGTGTACCTAAAACGAGACGAATAATGAAAGTCGTCCGACTAAGAATGAAATCAGTAGAACACATCTTGAAAAAAACTGATAATCTTAAAATCATTTATGTCGTAAGAGACCCTAGAGCTCAGATCCATTCGTTAATAAAATCAGGACTGCTTGATCAGAAGTCAGTCAAAGTTCACTCTAGAGAATTGTGTGAAGATATGATGTCAGACTTCAACTCAACAAAAATTCTAAAAAGAGCTTATCATAATAATATATTCATGTTAAAATATGAAGCTCTTGTTACAAATCCACTACAGAATTTCAGAAAACTGTTTAGCTTTTCTAATTTACCTTTCACGACAAGAGTAGACAGCTATATACGGCACCATATGTTGGAGAGTGGCACAGGACACGAAATTAACTTTAATGCAAAGTCAGGAAATTCTACCCTCATAGCAATTAAGTGGCGCACAGCTATCAACAAAAAGCATTTGCGTATTATTGATGAAGCTTGTCATAGGACTTACGAAACTTTTGGTTACCACCAATTAGATATCAAATCTTTGCAAACTTTGAGTATAGATATCCAGGGTCAACCATCAGAGACAGATATCTTTGATTTGTATTAACTTTATATAGGTCAATGATGTGGATAAACGGAGATGTGGGTAATTGGATAGTAACCCAACGAAGAATCGAACCAAAAATATATATAGAGGGCAAAGTACAGTATCGAAGCTTGGTATAAAATGGACGAAACTTTTAGTTACCGGCCACTAGAAATCAAATCTTTGCAAAGTCTAAGTAATAATGTCCATAGAAAACCATCATAAAAAGATGTCCTTGATTTGTATAACATTTATATGACTAAAATGAGACTTGTTGTAAACGTCATTGAGGTGTGGTATACGTCAATGAAACGTGTGGTACACGTCAATGAAACGTGTGGTATACGTCAATGAGACGCGTGGTATTCGTCAATGAGACTTGTGGTATACGTCAATAAAACAGCCATAGTCTACAGCAAAGTAATCGTCCACAAAAACAGTTATTTACATGTTATGCTCAGCTCTAACTTATTCGTCTAGAGTCTTTAAACTTTAGAATGAATTTAAGAGAAACAATCTGAGATCTGTAACGAACACCACATTCTCCAATACCCCCAACCCTCTAAAACAAATATGAATATGATAATATTACTATATTATAAACATGCAAACACATTTCGTACATGTTCACTTAAAAATATATTATCCTGTTTATATTATCGGATTTATTTCGAAATCTTTACACCAGAGAGAGACCACAAATTTATAACCAGAAAAAAATATCACATAAGTCGAGACCTATTTATATAGAGAACGTTTAAAAATACCATATTTACAGTTAGTTATTTGAATAAAGATTATCATAACTGTCCTGAATTCTTCGCTTAATCGCCAATTATATTTATACTGCAATCAGCCAACAATTGTAAAAATAACATGTACACAAATATTGTTTTGCTTTATGTGACCTTGTACAAATAAAGTCTCCTGTTACCCTGCTTCCAAGTAAAGCAATCGGTAATATGAATATTTTTTTTTGATAAAAGTTCATTTTGGGGTTCTCTTCGCGGTCCGCGTTTAAAATGTGTCGATTTCTTTAATAATCAGAGACAACTATTTAGATTGAAGCAACTAAACCTTAAAGTGCCGGGTGTTAATTACAGAATAAAACAATATATGTACATTGTAGAAAATATAAAAGTTAGAAACAGGACGAAAAACGAGGCTCGTTATATTGTATATAAATGAGTATTAATGTACATGTACATGTACATGTGTATGTAGACCAACCTGCAACGGTATATATTTTATATAATATAAAAAAGAAGATGTGGTATGATTGCCAATGAGACAACTCTCCACAAGAGACCAAAATGACACAGAAATTAACAACTATAGGTCACCGTACGGCCTTCAACAATGAGCAAAGCCCATACTGCATAGTCAGCTATAAAAGGCCCCGAAATGACAATGTAAAACAATTCAAACGAGAAAACTAACGGCTTAATTTATGTACAAAAAATGAACGAAAAACAAATATGTAACACATAAACAAACGACAACCACTAAATTAAAGGCTCCTGATTTGGGACAGGAACATGCAAAGATAATGTGGCGGGGTTAAACATGTTAACGGGATCCCAAACCTCTCCCAACCTGGAACAGTGGTGTAACAGTACAACATAAGAACGAACTATAAAAATCAGTTGAAAAAGGCTTAACTCATCAGATGGATAAAAATATACAAATACTACAAATACAAGTGGACTTGGCCGGGTACTTGTCAATCCCAACAATAAAAAGACAATAAGTACAGATCTGAGAGTACTCGCAGTTACTGACAGCTAGTTCAAAGCCACTAACAACTAATAAAAATAATCATGCATCTAAGACTAAATTATCAATCAGTACACATCCAACATCCAATGGATTTAGTGTAAAGACGTCATAAACAGTCAGAGAAAAACATGACCTTGTGCAATGCCAAGATACCTCGACAGATTGTAGATCCATGAATGTGTATATGTATATAACAATAATATTTAGTTTGCTTTTAATTTGCTGATAATAAGCCTTTCTAAAGTAAGAACCAATATTATCAAGAATACGACCATCTGATTTTCAGGCGTTGTGGTAGGGAGGTTTTGGAAAGGAAGATTCTGACCTGGTAAGAACTTTCAAAGAATAATCTTGGCCAAGACAGGATGGAAATGAAAATTCCGCACCACATTTATTTTCTAATAAAGTGAAAACATATTTTCTCGCGGTTTTGACTAGCAACAGGTGAAAATGGATATTCCGTATAACAGGCTATGGCATGATAACATGCAAAACAATTCAAACGAGAAAACCAACAGCCTGATTTATAAAATCTATAATGTACAAAACAACAAAGGAAAAATAAATATGCTATACAACTACATGTATAAACGACAACCAATGAATTACAGATTTCTGAATTGGGACGGATATATCATAAAGTCAAGGTAAGGGAATTGAACTACTGTTTATATTTTAGCAACTTATTCTCTATTCTTTATTTATTTGGCCTATTTTTCTCTCTTCTTTATAATTTGGCCCTAAATTCTCTATGTATGTAAACCCCTTCCAGACCAGACCCTCATACTATTGTGATAATCGCACATGCATATTGCAAATTAAGTTATGATTGTAAAAGAACTAACATGCTCACTAAAATATTTTGCAAATATACGAATGAATTGAAAAAGCAGCTAAGACGACACATAAGTGTTAATTACGGTGTTGTTTTTTTTAATTTGTAGAAATTTGCGCATACATTACTTGTAAAATGTCAACAGGTCGGACGAACATGTGAATTTGAACAATTAAAGACAGAAAATATCTCTGTCACGTTCTAATATATAATAAATTTTTAAAATGACTTGTAATATATATCCATTTAGAACTTTAATATAAGTCAAGAGTCAGAATGTGTGCCATATTTTATCTTGAATCGTGTTTGGCCTTGAGACACCACAATGCTTACCCTTCCTGAGCACCTGAGATTACCCCGGTTTTTGGTAGGGTTCGTGTTGCTAAGTCTTTAGTTTTCTATGTTTTGTTTTGAAACCTATTGTTTGTCTTATGGTCTTTTTCTTATTTTTTTGCCACAGCGTTGCCAGTTTATTTTCGACTTCTAAGTTTGAATGTCCCTTTGGTATCTTTGGCCTGTCTGTTACTGTATATGTGTATGTAGACCAACCTTCAACGGCATATTTTATATACGACTCTCTAAAGTAAGAACCAATATTATCAAGAATACGACCATTTGATTTTCAGGAGTTGGGATAGGAGGATTTTGGGAAGGAAGTTCCTTGTCTGGTAAGAACTGACAAAGAATAATCTTGGCCAAGACAGGATGGAAATGAACAATCCACACCACAAAATTATTTAATAAAAATAAGAACTATATTTTCGCTCGGATTTGCCTAGCAACAATTGAAAATGAATAATTCGTTTAAAAGACTATGGCATGATAACATGCAAAACAATTCAAACGAGAAAACGAACAGCCTGATTTATAAAATCTATAATGTACAAAACAACAAACGAAAAACAAATATGCTATACAACTACATGTATAAACGACAACCAATGAATTACAGATTTCTGACTTGAGACGGGTATATCATAAAGTCAAGATACGGGAATTGAACTACTCTTTATATTTTAGCAACATGTTCTCTATTTTTTATTTAGTAGACCTATTTTTCTCTCTTCTTTATAATTTGGCCCTAAATTCTCCATACATCTCACATACATATTGCAAATTAAGTTATGATTGTAAAAGAGCCAACACACTCCCTGAAATATTTGGCAAATGTACGAAATTTGTATAACAGTTGAATGAATTGAAAAAGCAGCTAAGACGACAAAAAAGTGCTGAATACGTTTTGTTTTATTATAATTGTTAATGTTATTGTTATTATCATTGGTCATTTTTTTATTTGTTGAAAGTAGCGTGTATATTACTTGTAAGTTGTCAACAGTTCGGACGGACAAGTGAATTCGAAATCTTAAAGACAGAAAATATGTCGGTCAAGTTCTATTATATACTAGTAAATTCAAAAATTGACTTGTGATATACATGTATATACAATTTAGAACTTGGATATGAGTCAAGAGTGAGAATTTGTGCCACATTTTATCTTGAATCGTGCCTAACCTTGACAACATTGCGGTGTACATTTGTACTAAATATTTATATAGTAAGTATATGTTCACTTGTAAATATTATGCAACCTTCCAATGTATCGATTAGTTGGTGTATGGGTTCTTCTAGTGGCCATTGTGTCAGGGAATGACTACCAGGTGACCATATACCCAAGTTATCTGTCACAAGGTGGCCGAACACACTTTGAGACTGACCGCTGGGATGGTCATAATGGACTAGATATTCAACAAAATATTGACAGGTGCAAGGCGATTGCTACTGAAAGTGGAAGATGGCTTAACCGTGACTTGAATGGGAATATATTTCAGAATGTAAGGCTTTTTATTTATCTATAATTTGATTCATATTTCCATGCATGTTGTTCATTTTTTGTATGTTTATCCTTTCCCCCCCCCCCCCCCCCCCCAATCAACTTCTCGGTCATTAAAAGGTATATACTTTGCGGGGGTTAGCTACATGGTGCCGATAACAAAAAAAAACATTTAAGGTAACATTTCCGGAAGGAAAATGGATGCTTTGTATTTCAAAATTGTATCCAGTTTATTAGCTAGAAATATTTCAACATGTGCATTATAGATAAAAGTCATAGAAAGAAGAACCAAATTATTTTATTGTGTCTGTTTCTTTTCTTTCTTTTTTTTTATTGTTGCGTTTTTTGCTCATTTCTGGATTTACTATTTTCATAAACGCTGAGCCAAAGATTGTAACATTTCGATTAAAGAGATTATTTTTCATGCAGTTGTCCGTCCGTTTTTGCCGTATGATATTGGAGGGTGTGGAAGGGGGTGTACAGAATAGAGAATTATGGGCAGAAAATATAAAGAATAGAGAAAAAATTGACCAAAAAAGGGGAATAGAGAATAATGAGGTGCTAAAATATAAAGAATAGAGAATAATGGGCAAAAAATATAAAGAATAGAGAATAATGGGCAAAAAATATAAAGAATAGAGAAAAATGGCCGAAAAAATTAGAACATACAGAAATGAAGGACGCCCCCCCCCCCCCTTTTCCAATCCAGACCCTCATATCGATTACCCCCTTGGTATCTTCTTACTTTTTTCATTATTATTTTTTTTAAACATCACTCCTCCTATATCATTAAACGATCTTTCTCTAATTCCTCGTCAATTTATCCCTTTCTGCACCCATTGTATAAATATAGATTCTTACATTGATACCAGTGGATTATCGGATTTATCCAATCGAGATAGTTAAATTATCAATTTTAAAGTCCGAGCCTCGGCGAGGACTTTAAAATTTATAATTTAACTATCGAGATTGGATAAATCCGATAATCCACGAGTAACTATGTAAGAATCTGTTTCTCTAATGATTAAAAAATAAATTTTCCTTTTTTGCTAAACTAAAATCCCCTTCGAGTGCCTTCCACTTTCCATAAAGTTGTCAATTTCATTAACACCTGTTAGCATATTTTGATGCATCCAGTGAGAAAGGTTTTGACCCTTAAACTTATCCAATCATCTTCTGAGATCACTGGCAACCACACGTTGATTAAATTTTTTTATACAATGGGTTCGGAAAGGGATACATTTCCATAGAATTAGAGAAAAAAATTTAATCAACGTGTGGTTCGTTTGATCTCAGCTCTTCATTGGTTAAAACCCGATTATGACGTCGAATTTTCTTGCTTTCCTCTGAATTTCCTATTGTGACGGCATGAAAAAAGGCGACCATGCCTGATGACTTCACATAGAAAGAACACATCGTTTTGCAGATCATTCGAAAAGAAGGAATAAGTTTGTCTGCATATTGTTTGAAAATCATTAGAGAAACAGATTTCACCACCAAATCTCGTGTAATACGATATTTATCCACTCTCGACAGTTAAATTTTAAATATTTAAAACGCTCGGCGAGCCTCGCGTTTTAAATTTGAAAATTTAACTGTCTCGAGTGGATAAATATCGTATTACACTCGATGCAGTGGTAGAATCTATATTTTTATAATCTACTAGGGACATTCTTAAATTTGATAACTTTAGACCATGTAATTACTGAAAAGGACACAGAATGATAGATTGATTGATTAATTGAATGATTTGTATATGATATGTCCAGTAGCAAATAATTGAGGCATATTCAGGACGATAAAAAAATTAAAATAATATCATAGGTAGGTTCTGCAATATTGGGTCGTCCTGGACCGAAAGATTATGTGGATACGTTGGATAGGGACCGACATCTTGTCTTGCAACATACTACATACAGACCCCTAACATAGTTGTTGCTGTGGTTCTGTACCGTGCAGCAGAAAGTGTTGAACACTCTCAAAACGAGGCATCAGATATAAGGTTCTCATTCGAACCGGACGTGGCTGCGTATTTATACACATACCCCGTTTATCCAAATAGACGCATTAAACATGCATTTATCGACAGGATTAGAGAAGTCCAGATGATCACATTTCTATACCCCTGCTGATCCTTGGGGTCTACATACTTGCAATTATAGATTGAAAATATGAAATGTATATAATAATTCATATCTACTTTAGTTACTTAAATGCTGATTTTCATTAATCATTACTTACGAATTTCATCTTTTGTGTAGTTTTAGTGTAATGTTTTCGCGCTTCATAGTAAATGTGCCTCGGTAAACGCTTTTGAAGCCCTATAAAAGAAGAAGCATCCTATTCTATACATATGCATGCTTAATTCAGGAAATTAATACTAATATTAAGCGGTTCGTAAAAATCTTTAACATACATGTACATGACTGTATAATTGTTTTCAATATTCCTACATTTAAGTGATTGTTACGGAGAGTCGAGTATAATATAAAATATATTTTGGTATACAGTATATGAAATTTGATCAAAATTAGTCTGTTTAACTGTGGACGTGTCAAATAACTTTGGTTTTATAAGGAAATAAAATTTCAATCTATAAACATTTTCACCAATAGAATTCCAGAATCATATGCAAATTACATCAAACGCAACAATTCAAAAATATTCACATTTTGCAGATTGAAAATATATATTGTAAAAATTAATAGCTATGATTTTTTTTTATTCTGAATTGAGCATATCGATAAGAATAATAATGGTTTGCTGTTTTTTCAAAACCTTTCTTGTATTTATTGTAGACACCTCAAGACCCTCATCACCATGGCTACCCAGATCCAAATCATTTTAAAGATCCATCATTTGTTCGTAACATCTGTTCAAAGTATAAGCAAAATCTTCAAGGATATGGAAACCATTCTGATATGGTCATGGAAATCAAAGGTGAATACTGTAAATTCAGAAATATTTGCCTGCATTTATTATCGTGGCGATATTTTAATAGTGGACAAAAATGCGGGGAGATTAAATATTACGATTTCAGGCAAAAAATTGCATACAACTTTATTAATTGGAATGTAGAATGTGAGTTCTTATTATTGCGATACTCACCCAGTCGCATTATTCGCATTAATAAAATTCTCGCAATGATATCTGAATTTACAGTATTAATATGTAGGATATTATGCCAGCCTTGACAATAACCAAATTTTACAAAACATTCGGCATACCTGCGCGCTACGAAAATTGATGAGTTATTGGTGCATTCTATACACACGTTAAATTTTAATCTTTTATGGCATTAAGTTCTCCATTGTCATCATATTTTGATCGAACTCACATTTCCGTTCTCGTGTTATTTTGAAATGGTGATCGATATATGTAAATTAATATTTTAAGCATGTTTTAAAATGTCAGTTTTCTTTAGACAATTTAACATTAGTTTTTCAAGAACTACTGAAGTACATGTACAGTAGGAAATTTCAGCTCTGTTAGCACACATGGTCTAAATGCGTTCTGAATTGACAAAGTCAATCCGGCGACCTCCCCCCAAAAAACTGACCGCCAAGATATATTCAAGCGTGCTGAAAATGACGTTAAAGCCAACAATTTAATCATTCAATCAACCAATCTCATTTTACTACTGTCGGTTGTAGGTCTCTACTGGCCACACTGGATGGACACTTCTCAACATGGTGGAAAGTTTCCTAATAACTTAGATGCGGGTGCTGAATTTATGGTTCTGCTCTTGAAGTCCATTAAACAATGCACTAATGGTATAATACCAAGGTACTTTGAAGTCATAAATGAACCAGATGCTGCTTGGAAATATATATCATGGAACACTGTTATTGATTTTCATAGAATAGTCGCACAGAAACTGAAAAGGCAATTTCCCGGAATAAAAGTTGGTGGACCCACTAAAAACACTGAGGTTGCAGGAAGTGATAAGAGCGATTTCCGTGTATGGGGTTTTTCTCGACAGTTTCTTGACATGTCATTAGACCATCTAGATTTCTTTTCCTTTCATCCCTATAATTTTGTCATAGTGGAGGGAAATAATTACCGATGGGAAGGCATGAATGAAGCAAGATTAGTAGCATTTATGGATACAGTTGAAAATTACGCTTATCAAAAAAAAGGTCATTCCGTGCCTCTTATCATCAGCGAGTATGGTTTAGCCGGCATAAGAGGAATGGATGAAAATAAAGCAAGTCCTTTCATTGACTGGGCATATATTAACCAGCACATCAGTCACATGTTTACTTATTTGAATTATCGTCACGTGGTCGACTTGGCTGTTGGATTCTTGCTTTCATATGAATCATACTTAGGCCAAGCATCGTTACATTACAGTCTTTTCCATAGTGACGGCAGTAAAGCTAATGCGGCAAAGGCTTACCAATTTTGGCATCATGTTTACTACAGTCATAAGTTTCTAAGAATCGATAGTTCGTTTGACAATAAAGAGAGAAAAATTTCACCCTTAGCGATGGGAAATCCCGACAATGGTGACATCGTGGTTTTACTCCAAAATTATGACAGATCACAAGCAAGAGTAAAGCTAAATTTCGATCATCAATGGTTTTCGCCGTCTTCTGGAATTTCTCATTGCCATTATCTCAACTCGCACAAAGAACCAGTTTTGGATGAATGGAAATCCATGCATGTTTCGAATGGATATGTTACAGTTCCCGCTGACGGTAGCTGCATTTTTGTTTTTCACGCTAAATATAATTTCCACAATGTTCACACTATTGAGGAAACTACTTATTATGGAAACAAAATGATAATGGGAATAAAGAAAGATTGTGCCATTTGTATTTTCTCCTGCGCATCATGTACATATGCAGCGTCAGCAAATATAAACATTCAATCACTAGGGAATGTTCAGTACGCACGACTCAGAATCGGAGTAAGTTTGCCCGGTAATTCAGGTGGAAATCCGGTCCCTAAAACTGTTCTGATCAACAATCATCACGTGACAGCACATTACCAACTGTTTGAACCAGGCCGAGGTCATGAAGGATCGAGATGGGAAAGTTTTGAATATCAAATTCCTGCAAAATTTTTAAGTCAAAATTCAAACGAGGTTAAGGTTGAATTTAACCAATCAGGAGGCTATGTTTCAACAGTTGCTCTTGTAATTGGGCGAAACTAATGTACATAATTAAACTGATTGTTTTACTTCTGTACTTTGTTTATATATACAATATTTTTGTAAAGTGCCTACTGTTGAGCTCGTTGTACACATATCCCTTATACTTTAGCGTTAATCCAGAGTTCTTCAGTAAACGTTTCAAATTTATAACTTACAAAGTAACTAATTACCTATAAATACTTATTAATCATTAAACGGCATAGTACAATTTCACAAAATATGAATAGAATGAAGTGTGGAGTAATTGTCATTAAAACAGCAATTAGGCATCACTTTAACCGAAAAGAATGTTTTTTTAAAGTAAGTACAAGAACACTCAGGCTCTGGTGGATGGTAGTTTCGTTGGCAGTCTCATCTCCTAATTTTTTTACAACAAATTATTTGCAGATCCTACTTTTCAATATATGAGACACTATCCCAAGATTATATATCTTCTGTATTTGCCAAGTAAACTTTTCAGTAACAACAGTCTATAATTATACATGTTGAACTGTGCGACACTGCTCACTAATGATATCCCCGCTCGTTACTGCTCACTAATGATATATCCGCTAGCTACTGCTCACTAATCATATCCCCGTTTGTAACTTCTCATTAATAGTCTCCCCGCTCGCTACTGTTCACTTATGATATCCCTGCTAGTTACTGCTCACTGATTATGTCCCCTATTGTTATTGCTCACTCATGATATCCCCGCTCGTTTCTGCTCGCTAAGGATTTTCCTGCTCGTTACTGCTCACTAATGATCCCCGATCTTGACTGCTCACTAATGATATCCTAGTTCGTTACTGCTCACTTGTGATATCCCCGCTCGACACTGCTTACTGTGATATCTCCGCTAGTTACTGCTCAATAATCATATCCCCGCTAGTACCTGCTTACTAATAGTCTCCCCACTCGCTACTGCTCACTTACGATATCCCTGCTAGTTACTGCTCACTGATTATGTCCCTCCTCGTTACTGCTCACTTATGATATCCCCGCTCGTTACTGCTCGCTGATTATGTCCCCTATCGTTACTGCTCACTCATGATATCCCATCTCGTTTCTGCTCACTAATGATTTTCCTGCTCGTTACTGCTCACTAATGATATCCCAGATCTTGACTGCTCATTTATGATATCCTAGTTCGTTACTGCTCACTTATAATATCCCCGCTCGATACTACTCTCTTATGATATCCCCGCTTGTTACTGCTCACTTATGATATATCCGCTCGTAATTGCTCACTTTTGATATCCCCGCTTGTTTCTGTTCACTAATGATATCCTTGTTCGTTACTGCTCACTTATGATATCCTCGCTCGTTAAAGCTCACTAATGATATTCCCGCTCGTTACTGCTCACTAGTCATAACCCCGTTCGTTACTGTCCACTAATGATATTCCCGCTCGTTACTGCATGCTTACAAATGACATCCCCTAGTTACTGCTCACTAATTATATCCCCGTTCGTTACTGCTCACTAATGATATCCTTGCTATAAGTATAACTTAAACCATGAGGTTGAGCAATGGATTTGAAAATGTATCACAAGGTATAAAATGCTGAGTGATACATGAATGTGCTCATCAAATTTCTGAGTACTCTGATTTGTAGTTAATGAGGAAAATGTGACGAGAATTTCATACGTGGGTATTATGTGTAAGAATAACTAAGTATTCGGTAAACTGGAAGTTGGTAAGCGATGGGTGTAAAAATGCACCATACGGTATAGCATGTCCACATGAAGCCGGAAAACAAATTTTCAGAAAGCTCTGATTTAATCGTACTTCGCTAAAATGCGATGTAAATTTCATGACATGACAAAATGTTAAACAATTCGAACGAGAAAATCCACAACCTGATTTATTACAGAACAATTAACAAAAACAAATCCAAATAAACAGACAGCGACCAACAATAACCACTGAATTACATGTTCCTACCTTGGGACGGTCACATAAAGAATGTGTCCACCTTTCTTTTAGAGTGAGATTCAAGTTGCATTTTTCTTCTGTTGTATGTGTTGTTTTGGCGGTATTTTATTTTCCAGTGTTTGTGTTGTTTCTATCATACGATTATCTTGCCCATCCTTAGTTTTGAGAAACTGTTCGGATTTTTATTTTAAAATTTTCACATGTATTAGATAGTATAATAAATACCAATGGCCTGATGGCTCGTGATTTTGGTAATGCCTAAGTGATAGATAAGAGATAACTGCCAATTCAATGGAGCATAGACTATCACTCATCAAATTTTAACATGGGTGGTGCTAGCTAATAATAAAATGTTAGCCCTTAATTTCCGGACAACTAAGTTATACAAAGACCTTGGTTGATTTCATTTTTCAAAATCTTTAGTTCTCTTCTGACTCGGGACAGGCATATACAAAATGTGGCAGAGATAAACATGTTTGCTGGCACCAACCATACGATTAACATGGAAGAGTGGTGCAACAGTACAACATAAGAACAAATATATAACTCAGCTGGAAAGGGCTTTACTCATCAGAACGATACAAAACACAAAAAAACTAACAAAAACACAAAAAACACAAAGTACAGATCTAAGAGTACTCGCAGTTACTGAAAGCTAGCTAGTTGAAAGCCAAGAATAACTAATTAACTAATCTTGTATCTAAGACTTAAATATCAACCAGTACACATCCAACATTCAATGTATTTAGTGTAGAGACGTCATTATCAGTCAGAGAACAACATGACCTTGTGCAATTCCAAAATATACCGGTATGTATCAATTGCAAAATATTGTAGGACCGTGAAGGTACATATGTGTATACCAATAATAATTTGTTGGGTTTTGGCGTTTGTAATGAGCTATCTGGTAGTGATTATATATCCGGATTTTAAACCACATCATACATGTAATACATGTATATAAATTTCCAGATCTATAATTGGACTGAATGGTTTGGTTTCAGTAACGTAGGCCATTTCAGAAAAATAGAAAAAATGAATATTTTCCATATCTTGTTTTGATAAATATTTGACTGTATGGGGAGTATTTATCATTCTTGACAACAAAGAAGATATAACTATAAGAAGGATATGGATATTAGTAGACAACGATAATCAATAAAGCCTAAAATACGTACAACAATACATTATACAATACAACAAACTTAGAACATAAAGAGTTAGACTGGTTCCCTGTCCTTTATCTGTTTAGCTCCGACAGATACAAGACAACAAGGGTGACTCAAATTCCCGTATGTTGAAAGAGAGAGAACCAGATTAATAAAGAATTTAATTATAAAAAGGCCTTCCACACCTACAAAAAAATTGTTATAAAAAAGGAGATGTGGAATGATTGCCAATGAGACAACAATCCACCAAAGTTCATATAAAGTGGATGTAAGCATTTATAGGCAACCGTACGGCCTTCAACAATTAGAAAAACCCATACTGTATAGTCGGCTATTAAAGGTCCCAACATGAAAAATATGAAACATTTCAACTGAGAAAACTAACGGCATAATCTATAACAAAACAATTTACGAAAAACAAATATGACAGACATGAACCAACGACAGCCACTGAACTACCGGCTACTGACTTGGGAAAGGCACATAAAGAATGTGTCGGGGTTAAACATGTTTGTGAGCGCTCAACCCTCCTCTAACCTTGGACAGTGGTGGTACAGCACAGCAGAAGAACAACCTTTAAAAATCAGTTGAAAAGGGCTTAACTCATCAGATCGATACAAAGCAGAAAAACGTCTAACAAAAACACAGACCAGACGTGACAGGGTATTTCTACATCCTCACAACACAAAAGACACAAATTACAGATCTGAGAGGTACTCGCAGTTATTGACAGCTAGTTGAAAGCCAATAACAACAAATAAAATGTGTCGGTTACATAACGCTTGATAAAGTCAGTGCAATTGTTGACACAGTTGACTTACATTATGCCGGATTACAGCTTTGTAGAAGTCGAACTGTACATGAGATATGACAACAATCACACCTTCATTGAACCTCTTATCGGAAATCGTGTCTAATGTGAAGATATAACCTCAGTTTTAATGCACTAGGTGTTAATTTAACAATTTTATGTGATTATTCTACGACCGAACGATGTCAGGTAAAGTCGGGCTATGGCTGTTTCTGGTAGTCTCTGTGTTAGGGGCTGACTACCAAGTCACCATATATCCAAGTTACCTATCGCAAGGTGGTCGAACACATTTCGAGGTTGACCGCTGGGACGGCCATAATGGACTGGATTCTGCGAATTTCATTGACAAGGCTAAGTCAATTGCTACTGAAAGTGGTAGATGGTTGAACCGTGACTTGAACGGACAGACATTTCAAAATGTAAGCCCAACATTTTATGCACTCTTTGCTTAATGTTCTTTTGTAATTTTTGTAAATGTTCGGTTTATAATGTGTGTGTGCCAATGAATATAAACATCGTATGTATCTGGTCGGTTTCCCCCTATAATGGTTTTTTTTTATTCTTTCCTAGCATTTATATCACCATTTTTATAACAGTTTTAAGTTATTAATTCTTATTACTGATGTTTATTTTTGGTATTGCCAATTTTTCTAAAGTTTATATTAATTATTTGGTTGTTTGAAGATAAAACGTCCACAGGAAAATACAGTAATATATTAGTCGTCAAGATTATCGAATGATAATTGAGCGAGTCAGAATCATGTTGTGGTGATCACAGGCGCTTGGGTAATAGACCCCTTTCTAAATATTTTTTCGGTGTTTTTATTTTTTTGGGGTAAATATTCTGTGATATTTTAACTTATTTTCACTTAATATTTAATGGGTTCTTGCTCTTATCAATACGATATTACAATAAGAGTGCTTTATTAATTTTGACCCTTTACTATTATATTCCACTAGTAATTTAAAAAAAAATAGAGAATGAATAATTGCTTAAGTTATCTTGTATTTGTTTTAGACACCCCAAGACCCTAATCATCATGGTTATCCTGATCCAAACCATTTTAAAGACCCAACTTTTGTCCAGAATATATGTGCTAAGTATAAGCAAAATCTTCAAGGATATGGA